GATGGATGATAGATGGATGGATGATAGATGGATGGATGATAGATGGATGGATGATGGATGGATGGATGGATGATGGATGGAGTCGTTGCAGTTTAAACAGTGAGTGGGCAGCAAAGACATTAGGCACAGATTGTGTTTGTGTGTGTGTGTGTTGGTGTGTGTGTTGTTGTGTGTGTGTGTGTGTGTGTTTGTGTGTGTTGGTGTGTGTGTGTGTTGGTGTGTGTGTTGTTGTGTGTGTGTGTGTGTGTGTTGGTGTGTGTGTTGGTGTGTGTGTGTGTGTGTTGGTGTGTGTGTGTTACTGATACTCCCTCAGAGGTCTGTTCTCAGGTTCCTGCTGACGGACTCTCAGAACCAGCAGTTCTGGTCCTGGATGACCCACAGAGGACTCTTCAGGAACTTCATCACTTTTGAAATCATCAGTTTGAAGCAGTTCTTCGTCTTCATCATCTTCATTTGTTTACAATCCGTGAAGAAAAACACGAAGAACACAAATATCTAAAGAAACCTTTAGAACGTGGTGACATCTGGAGGATACATCTCACGGGGTTCAGTCAGGTCCTGTGGACGGGTTCTGAAACTCAGAAGACAAACCGTCCAGAGGACCCAGCTCAGCCAACGTTCCCATTAGGTTTGGACTGATGGGACATGTTTGAAGAATAATCAAACACCTCCAGGTGGGGCTGAACGGTGAGGGGTGGGGTGGGGGGGGGGGGGCAGCATTGTGTCATGCAAGCATAGTTATTGAACCAAGTGTTTACTCGTGTAGGTAAACATGGATGTTTAACAACCTGTTGAAATATGCAGGAAATGGAATGTACTTTATTGACATTTTTCTGGGGGAGGACCTCCAGACCCCCCCACCAGTGTCCCCCCCCACTTTACAAATGCCTCTGATGCCAGTGGTCTTATGGACCATGTAAAGTGTGAAGGCCAACGTCCTGCACCTTGATGGAGCGCGCTGGGCCCTTCAGTCTGTCAGGGAGCGAGAGACGCGGGCGTGTGGTTACCATGGTGACCACAGGCAGCAGCTTTACCATTTCTTTTGATCTTGGTCGTCTCTGTGCGTTTCCTGCATTTCGTTGATCAGCTGCAGGGTTTTGTTGGAGTTTGGGACAGAAGCTGCAGCTTTCAAGACTTTTTCAGAAAATTTTAAATCCTAATTAAATTTTTTTTAAACTTCTGGAACAAAACGTCTGGAATTGTTTAAGTGACGGCTGCAGGTCGGACCCCACACCCTTTACTGGAAGACGTGTCCATGGAAACCACGTCTGGGAAGTCCTGAGTCCTCGCACATCAACAAACATGTAACCATGACACACACACACACACACACACACACACACACACACACACACACACACACACACACACACACACACACACACACACACACACACACACACACACACACACACACACACACACACACACACACACACACACACACACACACACACACACACACACACACAC